CTCCCTCTGCTGCTGCAGGTGACCAACCATTCTGAATGAGCCTCCCTCTGCTGCTGCAGGTGACCAACCAATGGTAACCAGTTACTGGGCAGATTGGGGCAGACACAGCTGAGTGACATCATCTAATCAGAGTAGACACGCCCACAGACAGAGCTACAGACAGACAGACAGACAGATATGGCAAGCCATTTGAGTATTTATTCCATATCCTTGATATCACACGGCAGCTGCCTACACTAGTTGGCTCTTTGATTTCACTTGTTAGATACATGGTCAAACTAGTTTGGTACTCTGCTTTACTAGTTAAATAAAACATTACACTAGTCACTCTTTTTCAGCAACTAGTGGCACTTTTGTCCGACTAGTTACCACAAGCCTTACTAGTGATGCCAGGAGCAGCACTTGTAGTACCAAAGTCCCAACTTGTAAGCTTTTTGATGAACTAGTGACCCTCTGACCTTACTAGTGACCCTAAACGTCTTACAAGTTAACTAGTGCGCTACAAAAGCTCTGACATGTTAACTAGTTACAAAAAAGAAGCAGAACTAGTTAACTAGTGACATACATTTGTCTCACTCACTAGTTTACTAGTAAAGGCAAAAGGTTCACTAGTTAACTAGTTGACGCCTCTTTTGACCTTAATAGTTAACTAGTGGGGCTCAAAATGTCTACACGTTAACTAGTGAACCCTTTGCCCTTTACTAGTGAGATACATTTAAATTCAACTAGTGAGGCTTAAAATGTTCACTAGTAGTACTAGTGGATCCCAAATGTGCACTAGTCACACTAGTTGCACAGAATGCTAATGAGGAGGGGAAAGAATGCATCGAGGTCTCCTATTGGCACCCAGCCCAAATAGTTTATTTAAGAGCTTCAACACACTGTGTTTTAAAATACAGTCATATGACCATATTTACAAAAATATAAAACAAAAGTATTTTGACTGTTTTATATGACTGTATATCAAATTAGGTAAGAACATTGAAAACTTTCTTAAAATTAGAAAGTTGCCTTAGGACTGCAGACAGGAATATAGATCCTCTTTAAAACATTTTATTAAGCTGCAATTTGAAAGGTGCTTGGATTAGAATTGCATTGCGATAACAGAGTGACATTATTGATGGATAGAAAGAAGAAGTAACCCTCTTCGGATCAAAGCTTTGAGAGATCGTAGTGACTTCTGTAAATATTAGTCTAAGGCAAAATATGGAGAGGTTGTTTATCATACGGATCTATCGTTATCCTGATTTTAAGATCTGTCCAGTGTTTCTGTTTTATTAATTTCATGAGCACCGCTTACAAAATGTCCCACGATCATATACTTTTGTGTCTCGAGTGCTGGTGTTCTCACACACAAGCATACGCACACTCGCACCAACAAAAACACACACAAAGCGGAACAAAGCAGAAACAGAAACATGTATTTTTCTAGGCAAAACACACACTGACTGACTTCCCACGGACAATATTTTAACAGTAGACACTAAATACCCGACTGATGCACCTCACGTCTTCGAGACGTTGCTAAAAACATTTCAGGAGAACGCCCCCTAAGGCTCTCCCTCACAGAGCTGAACTGACCAATCAGAATCTGGGTCCCGTCTGCTTCATTTGCATATGGCTGACTAGTGAACGTGTTGGTCATATGAACGGCAACTAGTTAACTAGTGGATACATATTGCAGCGTACATGTTAACTAGTGAAGGCAAAATGTTCACTAGTTAACTAGTTGCCACCTCTTTTGGTCTTACAAGCTGAATATTGAAGCTCAAAATGTGCACTAGTTAACTAGTGAGGTCCAAATTGTCCACTAGATACACTTACAATTGTTTTTACCTTACTAGCTAACTAGTTACACACACTTTATCTCACTAGTTAACAGTCTGCATATACACTGAACAAAAATATAAATGCAACACTTTTGTTTTTGCTCCCATTTTTCATGAGATGAACTCAAAGATCTAAAACATTTTCTATATATCCTACGCTGTCATTGGAGGCAGTCGCAATTTCTACAGGCTCGCACTACCTGTTAGCATCTGGCATCTGTTAGCATCTGTTAGCATCTGTTAGCATCTAGCTCTCCTGCTTACAAACTTTTAGCCATCCCTGCTTATACAAGTAGTAGTTTTAGTTGTCTGCGATCTGCCGAGGCCTACTCCCACCTGTCGAGTACGGCTGTACTGAGGTGTTCTTCCTCCGAAGATGTCGCGAAGAGACAGAGCGGCTCCACCTGTTGCTGCATGCGATCTGCGATCTGCGATTTACGAAGGCCTGCTCGTCGCGATAAGACGGAGCGGCTCCACCTGTTGCTGCCTGCGATCTGCGATCTACGGAGGCCTGCGCCCACCTGTAGAATACGGCTGTACTGGAGAGGTTTTTACCCCGGAGTCGTCGCGGAGAGACGGAGTGGATCCACGCTTCGGGCTTGGCCTGCTTCCACCGGGCGTGTGCTGCTGTGCGGAGGAGGATTTTACCACCGCTGGGGCCTGCTTTCCACCTGTCCTGGTTCTGCTGTTGCAGAGGCCTGCTTTCACCCCGGGGATACCACGGAGAGACCGGAGCGCTTCCACGCTGCTGTTTTCGCCTGTCCTTTGCTGCTGTGCTGATTTTGCTCCAGGAACATCGCGGATACTGTGTGCTGTTCTGGGAAAATGGCCCATATCGGGATTCTGCTGTGCCTGTTAACTGTTTTGGACTATGAGAAGATCTCTAGTCATTCTGAGAAGTCTACTGGATTCAGGTCTGTTCTGCCACCCGCAGTGGGCATCCCCTGCAAAGGTTCGGATGTGTTGCTCAAACAATTACCGGTTGCCTTGTCACAGACAATCTGCTCGACAAAATATGTTTGTCTTTTTTGTTTCCCTGCGATGATGGTTCTTCAGGACTGCTTCTTAAGCTCAAATCACACTCTCGCAGACTTTTCCGGTGTTTCTAAATTAGATGACAATGTATGTGTGTCGCTTAAGAGGAAAATATGCCTGGTTTTTGTTGTTGTTATTACTGTCAGGAAATGTACAACCTAACCCTGGTCCGCCCAGTAGTAGTAGTCAGATCGCTACTCCTGCTGATTTTAAAGCTAGGTCTGGGTTGGGTTTCATCCACTTGAATGTGCGCAGTCTGTTAGGTAAACTAGATTTTGTCCGCATTTGGGCGAGCTCGACTGACGCTGACGTCATTGTTTTATCAGAAACATGGCTAAATAAATCTATTTTGGCCTCCGACATTGCCTTAAATGGTTTTAATGTGTATCGTACCGACCGGCCTAATAAAGGTGGTGGCGTTGCCATTTATGTTAAGAATAAGTTCAGTGTAACCACATTAGTTTCCAAATCTATCAGTAAGCAATTTGAATTTTTAGCCATAAATATAGAAGTGGCAAAGGGTCAACAGGTCATGGTAGTGAGTTGTTACAGACCCCCCTCAGCTGTCAAAGACTCCTTGTCTTCACTAGCAAATCTTTTATCACAATTAGACTACAAGGAAATAGTGCTACTTGGAGATTTTAACTGGGACTGGTTAACTGCAGTGTCAGAGGATTTAAAAAACCTTTGTATCTCTTTAAATGTTACTCGGATTGTTGACAGTCCTACTCGCCCTAACATTAAGTCCCCTAATAAATCCTCCCTAATTGATCTCATTTTAACTAATGTTCCCCATAAATATTCATCTGTGGGAGTATTTGCAAATGATCTGAGTGATCACTGTGTTGTAGCCACAATTAGGGACACTAAGGTCCAAAAGGTTAAACCTCGTATTATTATTAAGAGAGACATAAAACATTTTGTGGAGCAGGGTTTTGTTCATGATCTGTTTGATTGGGGTAAAATCGATCTGTGTGCTGAGGTAGAAACCTTGCATGGTCTTATTTTTATCTTGGTTTTATGGAGATCATTGATAGACATGCACCCCTGCGTACATTTAGAGTAAAGGGACGAGACAATCCTTGGTTTTCTGCTAATCTGTCCAGTCTCCTTCATGAGAGAAACAAGGCCTGGGCAAAGGCTAGGAAATCAGGCTCAGAGGTAGAATGGCTGCATTTTAGGCAGCTAAGAAATAGCTTCACTTTACATATCAAAAGTGCTAAATCAAAGTACTATCTGTGAGTAACCACAAAGAATCTGAATAATCCTGAAACATTTTGGAAAGCCATAACATCGTTATCCACCGGCGATATCCGTAATGAGCTACCTCCGTGCATTACCACAGCATCTGGCACTATATCGGACAGGGCTACTATGCTAAATTGCTTTAATGAGCATTTTGTGTCCTGTGGTTCTCTATTTGATTCTGTCACTAACTCTGCTTCTGTGAACACTACAGTATGTGACTCTGAAAAACGTGTGTTGGAAAACCCTTTTATGGCGCATTTCCACTGCAGCGGGTAGCCCCGTTTAAGCGTCCTTAACCGTCCTCAAGCGGCCAGGCCAGTTTTTGGTAGCCTTTCCATATAGCCTACACCGGCTAGCGGGTACTTTTTCCCTCTTTTTCCGGCCCCATAAAATCGTGGTTCTATCAGGCCAGGCCAGGGCTGAACTAGTGACGTCAACACTCTCAACTGCTGATTGGTCAGAGAGAATCGTCACAAGATCGCGCGCGAGATCATCCCTAGCGTCGCATATATATCTAGAAGCAAGCTTGCAGCATTTTTATAAACAGCATTTTGTAAACGGAGGAGCTACAAAAATGGCAACGTCGAAGAAAAGCACACCGTGGTCGACCGAGGAGGTGACGACGTTCCTTAATCTCATTGGGGATGATGAAATCCAGCGGGAGCTCGACGGAACAACGCAAAATGTGAAAGTGTTGCAGGATGTCTCTGCACAGATGTCCGAACGTGGATTGTCGAGGACTTTCCTGCAGTGTAGGGAAAAACTCAAAAAGATGAAGAGTGAATATCGCCAAGTAAAGGACAACAATAACACGAGTGGTGCGGGTAGGAAACAATGGAAGTGGTTCGACTTGTTGGACCAGATTTATGGCCATATACCGGCCAACGTTGGGAGGGAGGGAGGCCTGGACTCTGCAACGGCTTTACTGGAGTCCCTGCAAGGTACGCTCACTTCTAACAAAGAAGTCTATTTTATCCTTACATTAATGTTCGACAACCCATGCTTTTATGGAGCCCCGAAGAGCTACATAGGCAGATAGCCTTAGCTAGAGCTATTGTTTGCTAACACCATATGTGCCATTGTTTACGTTCAGTTTTTCTTTTCTATAGTTGTTGTTGCTATTTAGTATTGTGCTGCAGTAGTTTGTGGAATTAAAAAGTCATTTTGCTGTTCTAATGATTACATTGGGACTAGTGAGGAGGAACATTCCCGAACAACGGGTGATGGCAGTGTTCCGTCCACAACATCGTCATCGAATCCAGAACGGACCCCAGCTCGACCACAGACACTAGCCGAAGAACCGACACCAACTCAACCACCAACGCCGAGTGCCATCACGACACCGCAGCGTGTGGTTCTAGGTAAGAAATAGAAATGGCAAAACGACTGGAATTGTGTTTTGTTTTTTTAAACCTTGGATCATCCATCGTCAGTAATTAAAATAAGCTATACCACTGTGTGGAAATGCTCTGTTACAAGTAAAGTCTTAGCTAGTAAGCAGTTAGTACAGTTGTGTGTGACATCCTATCATATACATATATTTATATTCATTATCAACAGGCTGGACATAATGTAATTCACAATCATTGTAAACATCTAGGGCCAGAACTTTCTTTAGTTCACCTTACTGTTGTTCTGTTTATACATGTTATTCTTATATCCTTGTGTGACCTGTACCTGTCCAGTGTTTTTTCCTTATTGCTAATTATTATCTTATTGTCACCCAGGCAAGAGGAAACGAGGAGGAGAGGATCGGGCCCAGCAGGAACGGCACCATGAACAGCACATGGCCCAGCAGGAACGGCACTTGGACTGGGCCAAAGCGTCTGCTGAGCGGAGATGGGAGTTGGATGCGGCCTTGAGAAGGGAGGAGGCCGTCTTGAGAAGGGAGGAGGCCGCTCAAGCAGAGACCTTCAACCTAGCCTTCCTGCACACTCTTGGCGAGGTGCTAGGGGGACTGGGCAGCCGACGTGGCCCGTCTCCTCCGTGATACTTCAAATAACCTTAATAGTTATTGTACATATTATATATTTTTTATCTAGTTAATTTTTAAATGCAACATTTGTACTTTCTTGTTTATTTATTTTCTTTAAAATGTGCATTTTATATTTATTTTTACAATGCCATGTATATTTATGCTGGCTGCAATACAGTTTTACATTTTTTATTTGTATTGTTTAATGGCATGCCTTTTTGATACAAATTATTATTTATTTGTTTATACTGCCATCAATAAAGTACTTCTTTGACTTATCTTATCTCTTGTTGATAATGAATTGCACCCAACAGAAAATAATCAGATTCACATCATCTTGATTTAGAGAAGATATAAACATACATGAATTTATAAAGCAATAACAAACACCATCAGTTAGGAAAAAGCCCATAAGATAAGTTAGTTTTAAGAGATTTAAAGCAAGAAATTGAGTTTGCTAGCTTGAGGTCCTCCTCTAAAACATTATTACATGTTTATTTTGTAATAGTATTAAGAATACATGATAAATACATAATACATGTAGTAGAATTTGCTCAATTGTAATACCCTCGTTCTACTAGACTTAAACACATTCCTTATATATTTCAAAGACGAGAGAACAAAAGAAGAAACCTATAACCCATTCAAGCAAGCTTTTAACATGTCTAGAAGAAAGATTGAGGTTATATTTTAATATATTATTTTATGTTGTGGATACTTTAGCCTCCATCCATGTTTACAATTGTCCACACTATTTTACACTTGCATTTATGAATATAGTTTTGCTGTGTTTTACACTTTAGTATTTATGTTTATAGTTAGCTTTGATATTCGCTTAATTGATTAGAAAGATTTTCTTTTCATGATCTGATATTTCCTCAAATGTTCTTATTATGGGGCAGTACTTACTGGTGCTTGAAATTCAATTATCTACTAAATATTCAATTCAGATAACAACATTTGTTTAAAACATTTGACAAACACATGTATATGAAAAAAAAAAGATGTATTTATGTTCAATACAATGAATACAATACAATGCATATTTAGGTATTCAGGTAGCGCATCAAACCCTCTCTGATGTCAGTGCCCTCCTCCTCTGCACCTTGAGCCACTGCTACCCCAGGCTCTGCTGCTGCTGGTGCATTCCACCCATCATCAGTCCTCTCCATGACTCTCGCAGAGGTTATGCAGAGCACAGCATGTTAACAAGCCACACACCAAGAAACAAGTAAACGATCGCTTCCACATCCTCCATTGTTGTGTGTGTTTTGTGAGTTGTGTCGCATTGAAGATGACGCCACTGCAGTTTTACCCAGCGTCGCTCCGCCCAAAAAGCCCGCCAAAAAGCCGATCGCCCCGCCTACACTGCGTTGCTACCCCAGGTCCTAAACTGTAATGGAAATGCGCCACGGCCTCGGACGGCCAGCGAGGCAGCCCGAGGCCTGAGCGAGGACGCTTAGGGACGCTAAACGGGGCTACCCCGCTGCAGTGGAAATACGCCATTAGTTTTACCCCTTTTACTGTTGATGTTGTTCGTGAAGCTTTAATCAAGTTAGATCCTAAGAAACCGGCTGGCCCGGACAACGTAGAACCTTTCATTTTAAAGATAGCTGCAGATTTGATTGCTCCACCTCTCACTACTCTTTTTAACCTCTCCCTCAGCACTAACACAATTCCAAAATTGTGGAAGTTAGCATATGTCCTGCCTTTGCTAAAAGGAGGGGAGGCCACCTTATTAAATAACTATAGACCCATCTCTAAGTTGTCAGTTCTGGCTAAGGTTCTTGAACGCTTAGTGAGTGAACAGGTAAAGGTGTTTTTATGTACAAATGACATCCTGTCTAAACATCAGTCAGGCTTCAGAAAGCAACACAGCACCATCACTGCCACAATGAAAGTGGTGAATGATGTGGCGAGTATTTTAGATAATAAGCAGAGTTGTGCAGCTCTATTTATTGACCTTTCAAAAGCGTTTGACACCGTCGATCATCGCATCTTAAAGCAGAGGCTAGCCAGTATAGGCATGTCCAGCCATGCAGTGGGGTGGTTTGTGAACTACCTCTCTGAAAGGTCCCAATGTGTTCACTTTGATGGGCTGTCTTCTGAGTGGTTAAACATTGCAAATGGTGTTCCCCAAGGTTCTGTTTTAGGTCCACTTTTATTCTCCATCTACATCAACAGTTTAGGTGAAAATGTGGATGAAGCTACTTTACATTTTTATGCGGATGATACCGTGATGTACTGTGCAGGTCCCTCCATTCAGGAGGCTGGTGTTAAATTACGGGCTGTTTTTAACATTATTCAGACTCAGCTCTCTGAACTAAAGCTTCTTTTAAATGTTGAGAAAACCAAGGTAATGCTCTTTTCTAAAGCTAAAAAGACACCAGAGCCTGTTTTAGATATTGTAACTACGCAAGGAATAAAACTTGAAGTGGTTACCTGTTACAAATACCTTGGTATCTGGCTTGATGATTGTCTCACTTTTAAACTTCATGTCAATAACCTGCTTAAAAAGCTGAGGGTTAGGCTAGGTTTCTTCTACAGGAACAAGTCCTGTTTCTCGCTTGAGGCCAGGAAAAGGCTCTGTGACCTTTTTACCTGTGCTGGACTATGGTGAACTGATGTATATGAATGCACCTGCCAATTGCCTGGTCAAGTTAGGTGCTGCGTATCGCAGTGCACTAAGATTTGTGACAAACTGTAAAGCATTAACCCATCACTGTACCCTGTATGCAAGGGCTGGTTTGCTTTCACTAACTGTACGGAGGCTCAGTCACCGGTACATTTTTATATACAAAGCCATGTTAGGGAAACTTCCATCTTATATCTGCTCCCTGATCTCACGGAAAACTGTAAGTGGCTACTGCCTGAGATCGAATGCTGTGGTTTTATTAAATGTGCCAACTGCTAGGACTGTCTTAGGGAAGACAGCTTTTAGATGCGCAGCTCCTCTGTCTTGGAATAGTCTGCAAATTAAATGGAAACTGAACAATCTGGTGCCACTAAATGTTTTTAAAGCTCGGTTGGATGCTAGTCAATCGGAAGCTATTGGTACCTGTTTATGTGGATAATTATGTAAATGATGCTGTATGATGTCCTTTTGTTGTTCTATTTATGTTTTTATGTTTCATGTGGAACTACTTGAGCAGGTCTCCCTTGAAAAAGAGATCAATGATCTCAATGGGATTTATTTGTATAAATAAAGGTTTGAAATGAAATATACACAAAATAACCATTTCTCTCAAATATTGTTCACAAATCTGCTCACCCTCCTTCAAATTTGAAAGACAAGTAATTACGTTCATATATCAAAATTCAAAATAATTAACAGTTCAGCGCCCCACGACTTTACTGCAAACCTTGACTTTACATCAGAAAGAACAAACATTAAAGAAGTGACTAACTGCATCAGTTAGGGTTAAAAAACATGTATTCAGCTAAAACATATACATCGCTGCAGTTATTATCCAGTGGAAAGCCCTTACCTACTGGCCTAGTTACATCAAAGTGGTTACTTTCTTTTGGCTAGGCAGTGTAGTTTTACAGACCGTCTTATTTGACTTTCTCTGGACTCAAAACTGTTTTGTGGGGGCACAACCCCACAAAGAAGAAAAATATATACACACATACAAGGTCATCATCTTAACAGTTTTTTATGCTCATCCGTGAGCAGAGCATCAAGTTGTCTATAACAGCTGAATGTGGCGATTACCATTTTGTTCAGCAAAACGCCTCACAAACTTATTAAGATCCAAAGCTTTAGTGCGTTTTGATTCAATGCTGAGTACAGCCAAACTTGACAGTCTCTTCTCTGTCATTGTAGACCGCAAATACTTCATTATTTCCGTCTACTTGGGTCCGAATGCTTCTCGTTTTGCGTCGTCCCATTCAAAAGAAATCGCCGCCAATCATATTTCCACGCTCGCGTTGTGTGCTGCATTCACTTGCACTCGGACATTAGAGACTTTCTCTCATAAATGTCCGATGAGCCACAACTTTTCTTTCAAAACAAAGCTGCAAAACTGGGTTGGCAGCTGGGGAGGCAAGGCCTATTTTTAGGGTGGCAGTTGCCACCCCATGCCACCCCGGTAGATCCGCCCCCGGTGCAATGCATTTGAGCTGTAACAATTTTAATTCAAATAATTTCACTTTTCTGCATTTTTACGCTAAGTTCAGCAGTTTTTAGCTAAAAGCAGCTACAGTCACCATTCAATTATTAAAATATTCAGCTTTTTCTGCATTTTCAGCTAAATTCAGCAACATATGTGCGCAGCTTACAGCATTCGCACGCATTTTCAGCAGGAAATGCATTTTCTAGTTTTCTTTCTTTTTCCAGCATGTCAACATTCAGAGCTAGAAAACACACTGTATTTTACCTTGTGAATACTGTTCAGTCAAGAATGATATTGTACAAACCAAATTCAGCTGTGCAGCATCAAAAATATATGTCAGCTTAAAAAACCCATCAAATCATTTCATTAAAAAAACTAAAAGAACACGCCTCTGCACCTGTATCACTGCTGGAGGCCTGCTGACGACACTTCTTGAAGTGGAAGCGTTTGATTGCCACCGGCTGCTCACGATACCGGGCTCGGTAGATGGTAGTTCCGCTGCCACCCTGGCCAAGGATGTTCTTCTCCTCCTCAGAGTACTCCAGCTGGGCACTGTCCATAAACAGCCTGACACACAGAGACATAAATAGAGAGAGAGGTATATCAAAGTCAAAGTCAACTTTATTGTCAATCTTTCAGTTTGTGTGTACAGAGTCAGACAGATGGATTGAAATACCGTTTCCCACAATCCCAAGTATATCATCTACTTGGAAAATTATCCATCTGATGTCCTACACTTTACCACAAATACTACATTTAGTCAACATACACTAAAATACAACATTACTTCACAATTTTATTTATTTCCATATAGCCAACATTGCCTCCCATTGAAATAGTCATAAACAAAATGATTAATGACCAATATTCAGATATGACTGAAGAGCTACATGCAATACATGGAGACATCTTCACATTGGTGTTAGACTCTAACAAATTCATCCATATAAGTCTCAATGCTGTCAGTGTTTCCATTCATCCAACAGGTGGCTGTTCATTCCATTGAGAGTCTCTCGTTGGCCTGCCTCTTTAAAACATAAGTACCTGTATCTGGGCCGACAGAGCGTGTGCACTTTTGTTTTGCTTAAGCCCTGCCTCCAATCCACTGACCGTTTACCTGACTATGTGTGTCCGTCAAGGGCCATTCAATGTGCTTAAGAAATCACGCCTCCAGGACCCTGAGGCGGGCAGGGAAGATTGTGGCCAACCCCTCACACCCTGAACACAAACTGTTTACCCCGCCCCCCTCTGGCAGGAGGCTGTGCTCCATCAGGACCAAAATCTCGCCACCTGAACAGCTTCTTCCCCTCTGCTACCGGCCTCATTAACCAGGCCACTGACAGTGACTATTATCCACCCCATAATAACATTATGCATTACATTAATGCACATCATGCGAAATGGCGGCGCACGTGGTTGCAGCGACTCATGGTTCTCCACCATTTTACAACCAACACGCTGTCATCCCACCTTGCCTGAAAACAGCCACTATCATTCCTGTTCCAAAGAAAGAAACCACAGACAGCCTTAATGACTACCGCCCTGTTGCACCAGTGAATATGAAGTGCTTTGAGAGGCTGGTGCTACATCACATTAAGGCCAGCCTCCCTCCCACCTTCGACCCACACCAGTTTGCCAACAGAGCAAACTGATCCACTGAAGACGCCATAGCCATAGCTCTCCACTCTGCACTGGGCCACCTAGAACATCGTGGGAGCTACGTCAGAATGCTCTTTATTGACTACAGCTCAGCGTTCAACACAATCATCCCAGACATTCCAGTTTGCAAACTGTCAAACCTATGCCTCTCCCCCACCCACCTGTTCCTGGATCAAAGATTTCCTCACTAACCAGTCTGTGAGACGTGGCCCCCATCACTCCTCCACCCGCACTCTCAGCATCGGCTCTCCGGCTGAGCACACTCCTGTACGTGCTTTACACCCACAACAGCAGCCCAGCCCATCCAGAAACATGCTGAGGACACCACTGTGGTGGGCCTCATCTCAGGAGGAGACGAGACGGCCTACAGGAGTGAGGTCCTGAGGCTCTCAGCATGGTGTTCAGGGAAGAACCTGGCACTGAACCCCACAAAACCAAATAAATCACTCTGGACGTTAGGAGAAACAGCTCCGACCTCGCTCCCCTCTACATTAACGGCGTGTGGAGAGGGTCCACACCTTCAAGTTCCTCGGCGTCCTCATCGCCAACAAGCTCTCCTGGACGGACAACACCACAGTGTCATGATTTTAGTTGTGTGTCTTTAGTCATGGTTTTATTTTGAAATTCTGTTCTCCCTGTGTCTGATCTTCCTTCCTGTGTTTGCCCTCCTGTGTCTGATTGTGCCTCATTGTGTTCACCTGTTGCCCTTGTGTTTCTGCCTCCCCTGCCCAGCTGTGTCTTGTCCTGTGATTACCCTCATGTGTATTTAGTCTTGTCTTCCCCTGTGCTCCATGTCGGATCGTCGTTGCTTCTTGTCCATGATACCTGTCCGTTTTTCTAGCCCACGTTACCTGTTTGTATCTTCTTGCCGATGTTACCCGCTCGTCTTCCTTGTCCGTGTTATCTGCCTGTTCCCTTCTGTAAGTTTGTCCTGTTTCATGTGCTCCCCAGTTTGTTAGTGTTTAGTTGTTTCTTGTTTTTTCAGTCATCAGCTTTTTTTTTTAATAAAGCTTGTCTTTTGTTACTTGTCCATTTCTGTCTTTTTTTAACTGCACTTGGGTCCTATTTTCCCCCAAACCTGACACACAGCTGCCACCCAGAAGGCCCAGCAGCATCTGCACTTCTTGAGGACTAGTAACTGAGAACAACTTGGACACTAAGCTGCTGGTGACCTTCTACTGCTCGTCCATCTAGAGCAGTGCTTCTCAAAGTGTGGTCCGCGGACCACTGGTGGTCCGTGAGCGCCCCCTAGTGGTCCGTGAGTATATTGGTAAAATTTCACATTTTAAATAAATACATTTATTTAAGTTTTTCGCACTCTCGCGGGAATATCTCCGCAATGGAACGAGCTTAAGTTTCACTTTCGATTGCATGATATAGCCCAGATAAACACCTTGATCACACATGTGGCCACTTGTTTGTACCATTGTCAGGCGATTTGTAAAAAACGATGTGTTTTTGGATATTTGTGGAGTTAGGTGGTCCGCGAGTGTTTTTTTATTGGTTAAGTGGTCCTTGGTATGAAAAAGTTTGAGAAACACTGATCTAGAGCCTGAGGACATACTGCGTTACAGTATCAGTGTTTCCTCTAGGTTTACTGCTTTGGGGGGGATGCTGTCTGAGCGGGGGGGGGGTGGCATTAGGATTTTTTTTTTTTTTAAATCCTCTGGAGCAGAGAGGAGCTGTGGATTATTGTTATTGATTAGTGCATCAGTGTTTCTTAGGGTCATTAAACACTAAACTCACAACTTAAAATGAAAGTGTTTAGTTTATTTAATAAAATAGCACATGTTCAATGTGAAAAGTGACAGTAGATATAGATTAGTTGCAATTTGGTTCCAAATGTCCTTTTTCCTTTTCGTCATTTCAAGCGATAAAAACTCTCGATCTTCTCTCGAATTATTAATATTTTTGTCAAATGATGGCAAGACGCCCCTGGCGGAAATGCTGATCAAGGGCCTCATCTGCTGCTAAATTAGCATCAGCAGAAAAGGCAGCTCTGGAGGCTAAATCTGCTGCTTCAAAGGATATGCATGCACTGCAACTGGAGGAAACAATTCTTAAATCTAAAATGGAAAAGGTGGAAAGGGAAGCACAGATTGCAGCAGCAGATGCCAAAATTAGATTACTTCTCAGCACAAAGGAAGAGATAATTTTGGGGATGCTATGAATCAGTGGCGAGCCGTCAGGGCCCTCTAGGCAAAAAATAATATTTTAAAACATTACAAATATATATATATTTTTTTATATATTTAAAAAATATATATTTTTTGTTATATTTTACATTAGTTTTACCAAAATAACTTGATTTAATTGTAAAATGTCCAAAGAAATAAATCCTTCGAAACTGCCTATTCAGTTTCTGTTGGAATGTGAAGGGTTACATTAAAGCAGCTCCTTTAGTCGTCTCTGCGAGTTACTGTGAAGATAGGAGGTGATTGGTGGTCCAGCTATGAATTCACAGAGGGCCAGCTAGGGTAACTCAACGAGAGAGTAATGTCAAATTACAGTACAATCAGGGCCGCCCCTGGCCAACTAGTGGCCCCATGCAAAGTTATGTGATGAGGCCCTCTGTGTCACGAACGTCGGTGGGGGACGGGGGGGTGCTAGTGGAACTGAGAGCACTGGAGGAAATGATCAATTGGAGTGGCAAAGGATCAGCTGCATGACCCCGCCATCAAGTACTTCATCCAAAAGGACAGGAGGATGGACTTTGTGTTTAAGTGATTTGATCATCAAAGGTAGGCCTAAGTCATTTTCAATGTGGGCCGCCGTGCCAACTTAATTCATTTGTAATTGTTGCTTGGCTGTGGGTGCCCTGTCATGATAGGTGTTTATATAAATGGTGTTGTTTTGCGTGGTAGAGGGTCGCTGTCATTGATGCGTTTTGCACCCCGGGCCGTTGTTTTGGTATTCTGTGTGACGTATTAACTCTTCTTTTTCTTTTTTTTTGTTGAGGGAAGGGGGGGTCAGAGGGCCTAGGTACAAAAGTCACGGCTCGACACTGCTATGAATGCTTATTTAGAAGAAGAGAGTTGCTGTACCTACAACTCCACTACACAGAACAATTGTGGATTTCCATAAAAGATCTCAGGAAGCAAAGGGTTCACCAAAACTGGAAAATCCTGCAATCAACACCATTACTCAGGAAAACCTCAACACACTTGCATTCAAATACCTAATTGAAGACAAAACTAGTAACTGCCAGGACAGGATCTACTTTCTTGAACAGTTTACATCAGGTCAAGCCAGAGATCTGGTCCGCAGCTGTACACATGGATGCACAAAGAGGATATTCGGAGGCCATGCAACTATTAAAGAGACTTTTTGGAAATGAAATGAAAATTGCAAATGATTACCTGGATAAAGCACTCAACTGGACAGCTATCAAGCCAGATGACGGAACATCTCTTCATGCCTACTCGCTATACCTAAGGGAATGCCTCAACACCATGCAGGACTTAAGAGTACATGGATGAGCTGGACGTCACATCAACTTTAAGACTGATTGTATCCAAGCTACCATATAAGCTCAGGGAAACATGGCGCACAACAGCATATAAAGAATTTCTGACATATTATTGCACCCAGTGTTTGGAATAAAATAAAGACTCAAATCTCACTAAAAGGATAATCACCAATAATAGGACAACTGACCTCAGAACACCTAAAAGGAGCAGTACAGCTGTGGCCGCAACTGAATAATGTGACACCATAACAACAGGCATTTAAGGTGCAGCAACACACTGACATCAACGCTGCCCCTTCCGCCATATGGAGTTTCTGTCAAGGCAGGCATGCAGTAGTGGACTGCTTAAAACTCAAATCACAATTATCTGAAGACAAATGGTTACTGCTTTGGTTGCCTTAAGAAGGATCACATGAACAAAGACTGCAAAACCAAGCTA